TTAAACAACAACAAAAAAAAACATATACATTGATAACATGATTTTCAGTCTGAATCAAATAGTATTACAATTGAATAATCAAAATATAAATTAATAAACTCATTGATCTATATATTTTGTTCTAAACATAAGTTTTTACTTATTATAAATATAATTGTTTAAAAAATAATATTTTAATAAAAGATAAATATATTTTTTCATGTTACATATTGATTGTAGTAAAATGAAATACTTTTATGTATTATAAAAAAATATTAACTAAAAGTAACACAAAATATCTCAATTTGAAGTATTATTTTTTATAAATTTCAATTTCAATTATATCTTTCTTTTAATTCATAAAAGAATAAAGAGATCAATTTTATTAAGAATATTAAAATATTGCATACAAGGAAAAATTCTGTGATGCCTAATATTAAAAGTTGTGATACCTAACTATTTTTCTATTCAGGTGTTTTGTATTTTCTATCACAAATTAATTTTGAAAATAAACATTAAAAAATAACATATTATTAAATTCTTAATACTTAATAGCATTTCTAACATTTCTGATATAACAGTGAATAATATAAAGTTCTCAAATACATACCATTTTTAAAGTTGTGTTGTGATCACAGACTTCCTAGTTATTATTTTGGGTACAGATGAAGTCTCAGCACCACTACTAATTAACCATGGGGAAATCTGATTTAAAGGCTTCACCTTAGTAAGCTGCTCCTATAAAATAATATATATTTTAGAAATTATGCTTAAAAATCAACTAACTGGTGTAGACTCACATCACAATGAAGAAATCTTATTATATTAATTATGCAAACATTAGTAGTTTAACTATGTATAAATGTAATTACACCATTCAAGTTTTCAAACAAATATAATTCATCAAAATGATTTATAATATTAAAATGTAATATTAATTCAAATGTAAATTTTTGGATATTTTATATTTTAATAAGTCTTGGATTTCATAGTAAAATTTAACCTTTTATTATTAAGATATTAAACAGTTTAATAACATTAAAATATAATTCTTTTAAAGTGATTTAGTTAACATAATTTCAAAATCTTACACAATAATAATATTTTAAACTATTATTTTTACACATATTATTAATAACTCTCTATAATATCTGTTTATTATTATTATTATTATTATTAATTACTAGTTTTAATTTTTATGTTTAAAAAAAAGATAATTTTGAACAAAGATATAAAACAATGATAATGCAATTATCAATATAATATACAACATGACTGATATTAACTAATTAATGTCATGTTATAATAAATTATTCAATCCTAACCAGTAATAACCAGGATTAGGTAATGAAATATTTTTAATGTGGGCAATGTAACATTACCAAAAATATTGAAGGCTAGTACCTCACCAATTTGGTTCTAAATACCTAAATTTATTATAAAATTTAAAAGTTCCACAAGTAATTCACATAAAGATGTCTCATAAATTAATATTTAAATATTTTTATTCTAGTTTATATTCAGTGTATAATCGTTTCAGCAAAATTATTAATTATTTAATTATTGTAAATTATTTTGACATATTATAATTAGATGCTTTTGTTGAATTAGGTAATTCTGAGTATTATATATTTGATAGAAAAATAATCTATAACTTATTGTATATATGTAGATAAGATAACATACCTGGTTTTTTTGAGCTACCTTAGTATTAGAATTTGTTATACCATTTATGCCAGTATTTGATTCATTAGCAACTACAACATCATTAGTTGAATCTTTTTTCATACCATTATCAGCAAATGGATTTGATGATGGTGATAAGAATGGATTTGTCGTTGCTGTTTGCGAATCACCAATAAACGGATTTGCCGAAAATGGGTTACGAGGGCTAGTAGGAGAAGTAGCATTAAATGGTAAGGACAAAATGCTTGACATACTTTCTGTAGGACTTCTTTCRGGAGAAACTACCCTTTGTTCTAATTTCCCACATTCACCAAAAGAAAAATGGGTCACTGTTACTGGAGTAGCACATCTTTTACGGTCATCTTTAGACACAGATGTTTCAGTTATAGGTATCTCATCCAATGGTTGTTTAGTTTCTTCTGGTGCTGCAATGCCACCATTAAGGGATAATGTCAGTTTGTCTCCACCCTTTTTTAAATACCAAGAAATAAGCCAAAAACAAAACAAAAACTAAAATAATAAAACAGCACAAAACAATAAAAATAGCAAGACAAAAACTAAAGATACTAATCCTTTGCATAATATAARGAATATCACAAAATAAATTATATTGTTGTCAAGTATATACTTACAACAGACACAAATGTTGCTTGTTCTTTCCCAAAAGAATTTGATTTACAACTAACATTGCATTCCCTGTAATAAAATAAATGTATTGTAATGTTTATAATATATAAAATAGTTTTAAAACTAGTTAGTACCCATTATGTAGTAAATTATTATCTTGTAAGTTGGTCACTTTAGATAATGGATCAAACATGGACAAAGGAGATTTTCTCATTTCTTCTTCAACTTTGGCTAGAAAAATRATTATGATGTTAATGATATTTTAGTTTTCAGTTAATATAGTAYTAACTAATATACTCAAATACTTCAAATTTAAAAGAACAATTTTAAATTTCTTCTTATTTAAAACATTTTAAATAAGAAATATTTATAATTTGTATACTACCTTTTAAAATGTTGCACTTTAAATGTTCTTTAGGAATTGGTCTTGGAGTAGTATTGAATGAAATGTTTCGATTGTTCGGTAAAGGAGATGATGATTGATTTTGATCTTTACCAAAATCTAATAAAACATACTAATTAATACTAATTTAATATAAATTTACATAGTAAAAATACAGTACCATCAGTTTTATTAATATCAATTGAATTTGATTCATTTATTTTGCTGTTTATTAAAGGAGTGTCTTTATTTAAACTCTTTAATAACGAGTCTAACCTATCTTCAGCAACATCTGTAAAATATAATAAAATTAAGCAATTTATTTAGATTAGAGAATATTATTCTGTATTCATATATTCATAAATACAATTACCAGAAGAGTTGGAGGTTAATGAKGATGTTGGTTCAAGCTGAATATCTTTGGAATCTAAGATTGGAGTTGGAGGTTTATCCATAATATTAATGTTTTCCATTTTCTCATTTTCATTTTCTGCTTTAGGCTTTTCASTTTTTTCTCTGAAAATATTTTATAAAACAACAATTAAGACACATACACAAATTTTGGATTTTAATCAAAGACAATAAAGAATGGATAAGATACAATTTTTAAATGCACTGGTACAAACAATAATAGTGGAGTAATATTATATTATATAATTAAAATTATAATTTTGGGACCAAATATCAAAACTATATAGGACAAGTGCCCTATGTAGTTGGTTACTAGATGTCCTATCCAATCTTTAAAATCAATGGGTTTATTTTACTTTTGTCTTTCTCTTAAAACATGCGATTGTCTTCGTGCATATCGTTGACTTGGTCTTCTTTCAAATTGAACAGTTCTTCTTGCTCTATTTAATTKAGTTGTTTGAAACTCAGTTTTGCCACTTAATTTGATAATTATTAAAATTAATTTTTAATTGAAACAAACTATTTTTTWATATATTTAATTAATACCTGTATCTAAACCGTGAACCCATTCTGAAAAAATTTTGCCTAGCAGATGGACCTTTAACGGGGGCACGAAGTCTAAAGAATGCATGATGTTCAACAGCACATTTCCATAAATGTTTACAAGCTTTTTCATTATGTAATCGAAATACAAATGTATGTTCTTGTTCGCGTCCTTGATCATCATCTTCTACAACTACCAAAGTCAGTTTTTTCTTCTTAAAATCCAATTTTCCAATCTTTGGCCTAAAGCACATTTAAAATAATATATATTTTACAATAGTTCGACATTTAAATAATTTAGATATGCATAAATAGAGAATAATATAGTTAGGTATTTAAATAGCTTTATCTTTTTATTTTGATAAAATGCCTTTCTAAAAACAACCAAACAACTCACAAAATTGCAATGCCTGAAAAATTTAATTTAAACTTGCATAACAAGAGTAAGTTTGTATTACTAACTATGGTTGACTATATAGCAATAAAGTCAACCATATTACYGAATTAGCAAATTCTTATATTAAAAAATAAGAGGAAAATGTTTTATCACATTTTGAGAAATGACAATGGGAAATTAAAATGCCACATCACTATAGATAAAATAAAATACATTTTAAGAGGATGTTATATCAGCATGTGTTGTTTTCTTTTTACAAGTGAATAAAACAGCAAAATTTACAGCCAGCAGATCTTGTTTAGCTACGTTAGTTTAAAAACTAGAGTTTAGACATTTTCTTGGGCTTTTAATCATATTTTAATTTCGAATCGATTTTAAGTATTTAAAAATTGTCAATTGTTTGTACATCTAAATATATTTTAATATATCACCACAATTTATCTTAATAAAATTATAAACACATATATTATAACCATACCAGAAAAAAAGTCCAATTTTTTGAAGTCCTTCAAAAACTAAAATGCCTGTTGGTGTTAAACCAAGAGCATATTCACATCCATCTTTACCCTAAACAAATATACTTTTTATAAACAAATTATAACAAAAAATTTAATATTGAATTACTTTAATAGTTACTAAAAATAAATTTATTTTGAAGCACTGCATAAAAAGACATTAAATTAAATTATTTTACTTACTAAAACAGTATGATTATCAACTCCATACATTTCCAACCATTTCACCTTATTTAAATAACTGGTTTCTGCTTGAGCTGGAGTCAAACCTTTACATTTTTTAAACTCTTCTACAATTTGTATTTCCATATCTTCAGTTTGATTTGGTACAAATCTAAATTCAGATATAACAGCAGGAGTATGACAAGTTTCATCATAATCACCAAGCTCAGCTAAAATGATAAAAAGACGTATATTAAGGCATATTATTTAAAAAAATATATGAATATACACACATTGTAAAGCTAAGGCTGCTAACTCAATGCAAGTACTCTGAAGGCATTCAAGTCGCCCTTCGTGTATATCTAATTTAAGTTGAAGAAAAAACTGATAACGAGTTAACTCTTCTCGAAGCATATTTGGTTCTGAAGAATAGAATTTAACACGTAGTCGAAAAGTATATGGTGGTCCAACTAAATTAAAAATAAAACTTAGTTTATTGAAATAAATAAATAATAATAATATAAATGCATTACATACTTCTAACTTGTTTTTTTATTGCTTTTGTAGGATCAAGCCAATGCTAACAAAAATAATCAAAGTATTAATTCACATCAATTAATCACAAATTACAAAATAAGCGTAGGTATACAAACTATGAATCTCCTTAATATAATAATATCCAATATACCTATCTTTAAGAATCAATAAAATATTTACTGTTGAGTGATTCTATATAATAAACATGGTAGGTATAGCAAAAAACAACAACACAGCTTTTAATAACTTTTTTGTTCATAAATCATGATTGGAATAATTAAGATCAAATTAGATAKTATTGTGGATATTGGATACTTTGTTTATAAAATTTAAGAAATCAACAAAATTGGAACATATATTTATTTACCTGAACATGATTAGCATCAGTAAACTGTAGACCAAAATAATCTTTTTCAATCAAATCTAATGAATAAAATACTTGTTCATATAAATCACTACCAACAGCTTTTTTCTGAAAAGAAAATTTTTTAAAAATCATAAGATTTAATTACAATTATTTCAAAAAATCAAGTACCTACTTAAAAAATAATTAAATATATGTATATATTTTTATAAATATTTATTAATTTTAAAAAAATTTTGTAATTTATTAATTTATAAAAAATTTTTGTAATTTATTATTGTTAACAAAAAATAAAGATTTGTATGTAACTACCTATTACAGTTTGGTATTATATTATAAAATAAATATTGGAAGCATTTTATTGGTATGAGTGTAAATATTAAGAATATAAATTATGGACTTGTTTTGCAGTATAATAGGTGTCAAGTGTACCTTTGCATTGCGTAGGTTAATGTAATGTGTGTTAAATTTGAATATAATGATAAACCTAACCTTACAATTAACAATTCTGAGCTGAGGCAGTTGGGTAAAGTGAGGTCAGCACTTCACGAGATTATACTGTGAATAATATAATTAAAGATTTAAAATAGTAATAAATAACAATATACCTACTTACATAGGAATAATAAAATAAATAGGTAGGTACATAAATTAGTTATGTTTATTTATATCACAAAATGGTTTGATATAATATGAATAAATTCATATTCATTGGAATTAAATAATAAAGTAATTAACCTTTTTAAAACTTCATAGTTTAGTTTTTAATTTATCATTTTTAAACCAGGGCCAGCTTTAGAAACGATTGATGTGTGCGACAGCACGGGGGAGCACTGTTGCCTGTTTATATATTTAAAAAGAGGGTGAAAACCGCTGAAATAATACTCGCACAGGGCGCTGAAAAAGCTAGAACCAGCCCGTTTAAAACGGGAAAGGGAAAGAAACACTTTTATATTGTAACAATAGTATATTATTTTAAAAGTACTTACCGACAGTTCAATGCATAGGTCTGTACCATCTAAAAGCATAACCCTGCATTGCATACAATGCTTATTTGGAGGGTTTAAACGTTCAGCCCCAGCTTTGATGTTACGAGCTTTTGGGTCGTTCCGACCTCGTTTTCTACTCAAAAACCGAAGCATTGCAACCGCGAGTAAATAGGCAATGTCATGAGAATAGGAACATCGTAATTATACTGGAATAYTGGATAAAATAAATCATACAACTGAATAATTTGATTTATTTACGTAATTAAATTAAAAATGTAAAACTGATAGCAGTAGGGTATAATAATAAACAATAAATTACATTTTTTTAATCATCCATGAACATAGAAACGCAATTAGTAGTTATATTTACGCACGCTTATATATTTACGTACCTATTTTATTTATATCAGGCCGTGTTCGAGTTCACCCAACAAGCCCCACTAATCTGGACAAGTAAGGTACCGTTATGTGATTGCAAAATCATGAAAAAATAAAACAAAAATACACTGTAAGTAATAAATGGAAGAGCACTAAATTATTGACACAGAAGAGCGAATGTTCAATTTGAATTTCTACGATTAATAATATGACTAGTAATTAGAAACTCTAATCAATCTAAGGGTGGAGTCGATTTAGAAAAAT